AGAATTGGAAATGTATTCTCTATGAAGTCTTCAGAAAAGAGCTCAACTTGGTTGGCTCAACTTTGGCCTCGTGGAACACTGAGCATAGAGCCATGTAGCCTGCCTGTGTTAAAGTGCTAATTTTCTTCAGATTTATTTTTATTATGTATACAATGTTCTGCCTGCATGTGTCTCTGCAGGCCAGAAGAGGGCACCAGGTTTCATTACAGGTGGTTGTGAGCCTTCATGTGATTGCCGAGAACTGAACTCAGGACTTCTGGAAGAGCAATGCTCTTACCCACAGAGTCATCTCTCCAGCCCCACTATTTTTTAAAAAATGGTATGTTTTATTTAATATAGGATGAACCTCAAATTAATTCTATTCATTTATTTGTGTGTGTGTGTGCCTATGTGGGTTCTTGTGGAGGTGACAGGAAACTTGTGGGAGTCATTCTCTTTTTCCACCATGTGGGTCCCAGGGATCAAAAGCAGGTTGTTAGCCTTTAGTCCGTGTATGTGTGTGTGGTGTCCTCATGTGCTCTGTGCACAGGTGTGTGGTGTGCTCATGTGCTCTGTGCATAGATGTGGGGTGTGTGCTCTGTGCACAGGTGTGTGGTGTGTACACAGGTGTGTGCTCTGTGCACAGGTGTGTGGTGTGTACACAGGTGTGTGCTCTGTGCACAGGTGTGGGGTGTGTGCTCTGTGCACAAGATGTGGGTGTGCATGCTCTGTGCACAGGTGTGGGGTGTGCTGTGTGCACAGGTGTTGGTGTGCTGTGTGCGCAGGTGTGGGTGTGCTGTGTGCACAGGTGTGGGTGTGCTGTGTGCACAGGTGTGGGGTGTGTGCTCTGTGCACAGGTGTGTGGTGTGTACACAGGTGTGTGCTCTGTGCACAGGTGTGGAATGTGCTCTGTTCACAGGTGTGGGATGTGCTCTGTTCACAGGTGTGGGGTGTGTGCTCTGTGCACAGGTGTGTGGTGTGTACACAGGTGTGTGCTCTGTGCACAGGTGTGGGGTGTGCTGTGTCCACAGGTGTGGGGTGTGCTGTGTGCACAGGTGTGGCCCCTACATGTAGAGGCCACAGCAGGACTTGTGGTGCCCTTCTCTAGTTCCTCTCTATCTACTCTCTTGAGACAGGGTCTCTTGGAGCCTAAAGCTCATGGTTTTGACTCTCAGGATCTGCCTGTCTCTGCCTGCTAATACAGGAGCTACAACAGAGCCATAATGCTCTAGGTTTTGCTGTTATTGTTTTTGTGTTTGTGTATGCGTGTGTGTGCACATGCACATGGCGATTTTCAGGTCCTCAAGTTTGCACAGCAAATGCTTTTATCCACTGAGCCATCTTTCCTGCCACGATGTTTTGTTGTTGTTGTTTTGAAGACAGTGTTTCTCTGTAGCTTTGGAGCCTGTTCTGGAACTCACTCTGTAGACCAGGCTGGCCTCAAACTCACAGAGATCCACCTGCCTCTGCCTCCTGAGTGCTGGGATTAAAGGCGTGCGTGCATTCCTTCCACTGTTTTATAGCCGGGTTGTTGGATATGAACATCCCCCACGTCACCTCATCACCAGCTGGTGGTGCTGTTTGGGGAGGTTGTGGAACCCCCCCCCCCAGTTGACCCTCTGGAGAAGGGGGCTGCTGGGGGTGAGTCCCACTTCCTGTTGGTTGTAAAATGCCAGCTCCCTTGAGGTGGATGCGTGTGATCAGTCAGTCTCCTGCTCCTGCGGCCATGTCTCCCTGATGGACTGTATCCCTCTGAAACTGAACCAAAATAAACACCTTCTCTCCCAAAGTTCCTTCTGCTGGGTCGTGTCCACAGCAACAAGGCCCACCACCCACTGTGTCCAAGCTTCTGCACCACAAGGTCAGATCCTTCGCCAGCTCCTCCCCCTCTTCTTGTGGCACCGCCCACTGTGTCCAAGGTCCCCGTAGCTTCCTGAGCATCTGCACCACAAGCTCAGAACCTTTGCTAGCCCCACCCTCTTTTCTCATGGCCTCTTAGACTGCATCTAAGAGCCTGATTGTGCCAATACAACACAGAAGGGCCATCAGTTTCCCCAAACCCTGCAGGGTGGCAGTTGGAGGAGTTTCCCACAATGTGCACTGGCCTCACGGGAGAGCCCAAAGACAGCTCGTGCATCCCTGACTGGCAGGGATCTTACAGTGTTGGTTGTAAAATGCCTCAGAGGTGATCGCCCAGGGCCTTCCCCTCATATTCTGGTCAGCATGCAGGATAAACTTAAGACAGAGTGGGAAGCTAACCTTAGAGACTAAAGGACACCACTCTCAGCAGGACATGGTGGCATGCCTTTAATCCTAGCACTCAGAGGCTGGGGCAGGTGGATCTGTTAGTTGAGTCTAGCCTGTGGCCTTACAGACATAGTGATACAGATAGCCAGAGCTACATAGAGACCCAGTCACAACCAACCAACTAGCCAACCAAACAACAAAAGCCTGCTTCAAAATAAATCCAGCTGGGCATGGTGGCCAGGTTTTTAATGCGAGCACGCAGGAAGCAGAGGTACTCGGACTTCTGAGTTTAAGCTAGTCTGGTCTATAGTAGCAGCTCCAGGCTAGCTAGGGCTGCAGAGCAAAAGCCTGGAAAGAAAAATAAGAAAGAAAGAGAAAAAAGAAAAGAAATCCCAGCACTCAGGAGGCAGAGGCAGGCAGATCTTTGTGAGCTCAAGACTAGCCTGGTCTACATAGTGAGTTCCAGGACAGCCAAGGCTACACAGAGAAACCCTGTCTTGAAAAACAAAACAAAACAAACAAAAAACAATGAAAATGAGAAAATTTTACCAGCTAGTAAAAAAGATAGAAAATTTCAAGAAGAAATGAAACGGGAGAGAGCCGGAGAGACGGCTCAGAGGCTAATCAATCTCACTTACTGGAGGCATGCGAGCCACATGGTCACACGTAAATTAATAAAAATGGGTTAATTTAAGTTATGAGCTAGTTAGAAACATGCCTAAGCTGCCATAATTAGTAATAAGTCTCTGTGTTGTGATTTGGGTGCTGGCAGGAGGAACAGAAAAGTCTGCCTACAAATGGCGCCCATGTTGGCTGCCAGATGCGTTTATCTGATTATTCTTTACCAGTAAAAACTCAGGAATCAGATATGTGGTAAGCACCTGAATGATTAGAGAAGTTACCAGTCACCTCCTTTCTCTCCATCCTTCTCTAAGACCCACTCTACTACTTCCTGTCTATCTGTCCTCAGTCCTCCAAAACCTCTATGGTTAATTTTAGTCAGTCAGTAGCTTAGCTCCACCCTCTGATTCAAAGCAAAGTTTTGACAGTCTTGGAAGTGTCAGAATGCAATCAAAATATCACAACACCTCCTTCTCCTGCAAAGGACCCGCTTTTGGGTCCCAGCATCTATACTGGGCAGTTCACAACCACCTGTAACTCCAGTTCCTGGGCATATGACTTCCTCTTTTGGCCTCCTTGGACACCAGGCACACATGTGGTGCACAGGCCTATACTGTTTCTGTGTAGCCCTGGCTGTCCTGGAACTCACTCGTGGACCAGGCTGGCCTTGGACTCAGAGATGCGCCTGCAGGGATTAAAGGTGTGTGCTGCGACCACCGGTTTGCATCCCTAAAATGGTTTGTCAGCACTAAAATAAAAGTACCAGCAACAGAGCTGAGATGAGGCCTCGGCAGCCTGCTCTGCTGCAGATTAGAGCCTCCCACAGAATCAGTGGTGACACTGCTACTTTAAAGGGACCAAGTGGGTACTGGAAATTCTGTCAATATATAAAAAGATAGGGAGCCCAACACCACTCACAGCGCTCGGGAGGCAGAGGCAGGGAAATCGCTTTAAGTTCTGGGCCAGCCTGGTCTATAGAGTGAGTTCCAGGACGGCTCAGACTACACAGAGAGATTGTCTCAAAAAAAATCAAAATAAATAAGTTAATTAATTAAAAAAATAAAAAATTAAAAAATAAAGGGAGAGATGCCAGAAAATAAAAAATAAAGAAGGATGGAGGTTGTGGGAGAACGAGGATGGAGCCTGAGGACTCTAACTCTCCTCAGCTGCTCACATTGTCTCTTCCTCTTCTCTCTTTCCTCTCTCTTCTGCAAAGGAACGAAATTCTGTTTCAAAGGAGGAGAGCTACCTGGGCTCTCTGGGCCGAAAACTCTAATGATGGGGTCTCTTTCTCTTGAGAGCCATCAGAACTCTTGGAGGTTTTTAATTTTTTTTTTCTTGACAGGGTTTCTCTGTAGCTCTGGAGCCTGTTCTGGAACTCACTCTGTAGACCAGGCTGGTCTCGAACTCACAGAGATCTGCCTGCCTCTGCCTCCCAAGTGCTGGGATTAAAGGTGTGTGCCACCACCACCCAGATCAGAGATTTCTTAAAATTACTTTTATTCAAGTGTAAGTGTGTGTATGTGTGTGGGGTGGGGTGGGGTGGGGTGGAGGGTTGGGGAGGTGGGGAGCAGGCTGCCATAGCGCACATATAAAAGGGAGAAAACGACTCTTAGCAACTGAATTCGGGTAAGTCGGGCTTGGCCATGTGGCCAGCCTGCCTCTTTATAAAGACCAGGGCCCTAGCTAGTTCAGGACAGTAACTAAGGTCAGATTAATGCAGGGCCTCAACCTACCTCTTCCCACTGGTCTGACTCCACAGATTCGACACCCTTCTGGTCTGGTTCAGATCCTACCTCTTCTCTCTGGATCCTGGGAGTGTCTCCCTACTCAAAGGCCAAGTCAGCTCAGCGGGACCCCATGTGGGTCCTACTCCCTGCTTCACTCATTCCTACCTCTCGGGGCTTTGGGGCGCAGGCTGGTCTCAGCCCAGGGCTCCTTTTCCCTATGAGAACACACAACTCTTTGCGCTACCTACTTCAAAGACGGGGCGGGCTGCAGAGCTCTCCTCTGTAAGGTGCTGCGTCCCTTTGGCTGGAGGGTAAATGCTTACACAGATGCAAGAATGAGGACAAGGAAAGGGGTCCCTCAGACAGTTCTGCTTTCAGTCTAAGCCCACCCCACTCCTCCCCTAAGTCTACAGCTTGCCTTACCCTTGGCAATCTTGATATCCAGGGCTGTTCGGATCAGAGCCATGAGGGTGGAGTTGAAGTGCACTGTGTTGTCGTCTGCGACAGGAAGATCCATCCGCAGGAGTCTCTATAGAAAATCCCAGGTGAGGGCAGTCATTCTTGGGCCCTACCGGCATCTTGCAAGCCAAATTCCCCCAACCCAGGGAGACCCAGGAAGAACTCTGAAGCTGGGGCCACTCTCCCTGTGGTCACCTAAGCCAGTGCAGAATTTCTCATATCCCACCCTCTCCAGGGCTTTCCACACTGCTGACTCCATCCCATCCCTCTCTTTTACCCCCGTTTTGTTTTTGAAGACAGGATCTTGCTAATAGCACAGGCTGTCCTTGGAACTTATGGCAATCCTCCTGCCTTGGCTTCCTGAGCAGCTGGGATTCCAGGGCCTGCCACCACTTCTAGCCCAAGCTGTTTTTTTTTTTTTTTTTTTTCTGTTTTAAATCCCACTTTTGGGACCTGAGGCCTAGGGGTTCATATTCTTGCCCTGCCCCAGAGTTCTTTTCAAAGGCTCCCTCTTATGTCCACCCAAAGAGAAAGAGCAGAAGGCAGATGTCAGCAGCGTGTGCGTGCAGCAGCCTCGCAGTGGGGTCCACGGCCACAGCCGCTGCTCCCTGCCCCCACCCCCTGCTCGGCCCACAGTGGGCAGATGATGGGCACCCAGCTGCAGCATTCCATCCTCAGAAGCGGCAGGCCCCTCCCCACGCAGGCCCCTGTGGACATGCAGCGAGGCCCACACAGAGCGGCACAGACGGGCACATGCAGACGGAATCTCGAGACTCATTCATAGCTCCGTGGGAAGTGACTGTCGGGCTTGCCAGATCATGGCTGTCTGTGCAGTAGCAGGGAGAGGGGCAAGGACATTCCTGAGGCCCAGGGAAGGAATTCTGTGTCCCAGGCAAGGGTTCTGCCTGCTCGGCGGCTTGGGCAGGGGGATGTTGGGCTCTGAGGTGCCAATCTGGGTTTCACCAGGGGATTCAGAGAGACAGTAGGGAGACAGTAAACCAAGAATAGGGTAGGAAGTGGGGTGCTGGGGTGGGGCAGGGAGGAGGCAGTAGATAATGTAGCCAATGGCACCATGGCCCGCTGGGCAGGTGTGCATAGTACTGTGTTAAACATGACACAGCTTTTGCTTGCACAGTGGGTAAGGGTCTCCTCTATAACAGAATTTTCCAGCAGACAGTGTTCTGTGGAAAATGTGCTATTTTAAATGTGCACAAAGTTGCCTTAGGGAGCCATGGTGGCTTTATCCAGACATCAGGTTGGGGAGGGACAAAAGGGACGCTTGTGGGAAGAGGCTTAGATCTGAGAAGGCTAGGGAAGCAGCCACACCAGGCTTGGAGGAGCACTGGAAGGTGAGGCAGCAAAGTGGATGGGAAGGTTGGGCTATGGAGTCACTTCTGGGGCATGGGGTTTGAAGGTCATCCCTGGCCACCTTGAGGATGAACTGAGGGAGCAGATGTCCTCCAGGGCCGGGGGAGATTCCAGGACAGAAGTTTAGAGGAGCAGCGGTCTCCTCGCTCCCTTGGCTGGCATACACCCCCACCCACCCCCAGACCCCTCCAAGGCAGCGTGCAAGGCCTGACTGGTGCACCACGTTCGGGGTGGGGGCAGCGGCAGCCCTCCTGCTTGCTCTGAAACAATGGAGTGGAGAGGCATGTTGGGGCATCTTGGGGAGAGGTGGCATGGTTCAGGTGCTGGGGAGACATCTCCAGGGCAAGGGGAGGATGGGGGGAATCAGCTGTGGGAGGTGTCAAATCTCCCGGGCCCTAAGTCAGAGGTCAGCTTCAGATGTGTGTGGGGAGGCCAGGGTTTAAGGGCTCAAGGCACAGAACTGTCTGGCTTGGGCCTGGGGCACGCGTTTCTGAAAGGGCAGAGATGTACAATTTGGCTCCCCGGGGTTGGGGTGGGGGTCACACTGGTGCTAAGGGACTGGAGCACTCCCTCCCCCTCCCCGTGGCTTGTTGGCCATAATGGAGTCTCAGAACACTTAGACACTCATCAGAAAGGACACAGTGCGCTGCCGAGAGTCAAAGGATGCTCACGACTCAGTTACTCGAGAAAAGAAAAAAGAAAAAAGAAGAGGGTGTCGGCAGAAGACTCGCTGGGTGTTGTGGTCACCACTGAACAGTCCCCAGCTCTGGGACATCGGTGTTGGCAAAGATAGACTACCTTGTAAGCCACTCTGGCCGGGCACTTCTTCCCCAGACCCAGGGGTGGGGACATGTGTCTCAGCATCTGATACATGTCCGGGTAAGGCATGCGACCCCTGGCAGCACCAAAAACAAAAAACAGGAGGGGGTGGGTGGGGCAGAGAACCAAAAGGGTGGGGGGAGAGGCGGAGAAGAAACAGAAAAAGAAAAAAAGAAAAAAGAAAAAAAACCAAAAAACAAAAAAACCACACGAGCCGAAAAAATAGAGAAAGAGGCAGAGAACGATAAAATAGATGTTTCAAATAAATGGAAAAGAGGAGAAAAAATGGAAGAAAAGGTAATTAAAAATGATTATTCCACTGCTTACAAGCAGGCAGAGAGAGAGAGAAAAGAGAAACAGTCAGATTCCACTTGGGCTCCAGGCTGTGGCTCAGGTGGTGCGGAGCTGGAGGGCTTTACTGTTCGAGGGGCCGAGTACCCTGGCTTGGCTGAGGCTGGTCTCTGAGGGGGCCTGGGTGAGGAAGAGGAGCTAGGACAGGGAGTGGGGGTGGGAAGGGGGGCTGGAGGCTTCAGGAGGCAGGGAGTGGTGGAGGAGAGAGTGGGGGTAGGGAAATGCAAAATTACAACTCCCCCAAGGGATGCGTCTGATTTGGGGTGTCATTGAGACCACGGGATGGGCAGCTTCAGCTAAGAGCAAGCACAGATGTTCGGAGGGAACAGAGGTAATGTCCCATGCTTCGTGGAGTCTGCATGGCCGCATTCTGGAGGCTAAGAGTTTGCTAGTGTAATGCAAGAGAGAGAGATGGCTCTGTTTTTGAGAAATATATATATATATATATATATATATGAAATATATATATGGAAGACCCCAAGCCACACTCATTCAATCGATGCTAGCAGGTTTTAGTGGAAATCAAACCTTGCAAGCAACCCTATGAGGACATTTCTTGCCTAAGCCGAGAGGGGGCGATATTACTCGCAATAAACTGTACATGTCCTTATAGTGAATGCGGCCGCTGAAAGGAGAAGAGAGGGTTAGTGGGGTCCAGGCTTGGTCACCATGAAAAGGGCTCCCCAAGCACACAGTGGGACCAGGGTGATGAGGCTCAGGCCTCCTGACTTGAAGGAGTGGGAACCTGGGACAAGTAAACAGTCTGATGCATTTAGAGACACGTGTGCACCCCCGCCCTCAGGAGAGACTCTGATGGGGTGTGCTGGAGTGCTGGGCTGGGGCCTCTCCACCCGGGGGTCCTCTGCCTCTGTTTCCTTTGCCATCTACACGGGCTACCCTGGTGTGGGTGGGTGTGTGGCCTAGTGGAGGGGACAGCATCCCAGTGCAGTGACCTAAAATCAAAAAGGAAGAGTTAAAAAGGGACCCCACACCAGCCCCAGCCACATGTCTTGCCCTAGCCTAGCAGACTCAAGGAGGGCTTGTCTGAGGCTGCAGCCATGGGAGAGACAGACAGATCTCTACATATTTTCTTAGGGGCCTATCATCTAGGGCCGAGGCCAGACGAAACAGAGCACACAGCACTAAGAGCCCCCAGTGATGTGATGATGCTCCTTCAGTCCTGGGCCCAGAAGGAACTAGAATCTTAAGCGCCTCAGTACACTCCAAGGAGTCAAAGATGCTCTGTGACTTCCCGTTTGCCAGAAGAGGGTGTGTGGTGTGTGTGTGTGGTGTTCTCTGTGAGGTAGGGAAACTCAACCTTATTATCATCAATAGAATGCACACTCCCCTTTCCTGTGTGATCTACTTTTAAGTTTTTTATTTATTTTTCAAGGTGCGGGAGATGGAACTGAGGGCAGGAGTCTACCATTCAGCCATATTCTTAGACCTTGACAGTTTTTATTCTAATAAAATGTATTTATATTTACTTGTATACGTATTTGTGGGTGCTCACAGAGGCCACAAGAGGGCATAAAATCTCCTGGAGCTGGAGTTACAGACAGTTGTGAGCCACCATGTGGGATCCAGGAACTGAACCTGAGTCCCCTGCAAGGGCAGCTAGTGCTCTTGACCACTGAGTCAGCTCTTCATTCAGCTCTATTTTCAAATTTTTATATTTAAAAAGTCTTTCATTTAGCCGAGCGGTGGTTTTGCACATCTTTAATTCCAGCACTCGGGAGGCAGAGGCAGGTAGGTCTGTGACTTTGAGGCCAGCCTGGTCTACAGAGTGAGTTCTGAGTTCTAGGACAGACTCTAATACACAGAAAAACTTTGTCTTGAAAAAATCAAAAAACCAAACCAACCAACCAACCAAACAAGCAAACAAAAGTCCTATTCATTCATCTTCTGGCTTTTTTTTGTCATTTTCTTTGTGGATTGTTTTTGTTTAATTGGTGGCGCAGGGTCTCACCATGTATGTGGCCTTGGCTGTCCTGAAGCTCATTATATAGATTAGGCTGCGAGCTGAACTAGGTCCTCTGCAAAAGCAGCACACGGTCTTCACCACTGAGCCGTCTCTAGCCCTGTGTGCGCGTGTGTGTGAACAACTTGTGTATGTGTGTGAACAACTTGTGGGTGTGTGTATGTGTGTGAACAACTTGTGGGAGTGTGTGTGCGTGTGAACAACTTGTGGGAGTGTGTGTGCGTGTGAACAACTTGTGGGAGTGTGTGTGTGTGAACAACTTGTGGGAGTGTGTGTGAACAACTTGTGGGAGTGTGTGTGCGTGTGAACAACCTGTGGGAGTTGCTTCTCACCATGTGGGTGGGTCCTGGGGATTGAATTCAGTCAGTCTAGACAGTAGGCACCTTTACACATTGAGCCATCTTGCTAGCCCTAAAATTTGACTTGGAATGGGTAATGGACCTTGAACTCCTGATTCTCCTGCCTCAGTGTCCTAAAAGCTAGAACTATAGGTGTGCACCACTATGCTTGGCTCTTTTGGAAGCTTTAGTATTATTGTTTGGGTTTTGCTTGTTTGTTTTTGGTTTTTTAAACAGGGTATCTCTGTAGGCTTTGAGACTTACCCTCCTCTGCCTCCTGTTTGCTGGGATTACAGGTGTGTGCCAGCAGGCCTGGTTTATTTTGATTATTTTAAAGATTTATTTACTTATTATGTATACAGTGTTCTGCTTGCATGACAGAGGAGGGCACCAGATCTCATTACAGATGGTTGTGAGTCACCATGTCGTTTCTGGGAATTGAACTCAGGACCTCTGGAAGAGCAGGCAGTGCTCTTAGCTTCTGAGCCATCTCTCCAGCCCTATTTTGATTGTTTTTGAAACAAGGTCACTTGGAGCCCAGGCTGGCCCTGCACTCCTGCTTCAGCCTTTTGAGAGTTGGGATCACTTACATGTGCTACAATATCCAGCTTGCTCTAAATTTCTGGGCTGAATTCTGCCACGCTGACTCTGACTCTGGCGCATGTGCCAAGGCTGCCTCTGCGCTCCCAGGTGAATGGAAGCCAGAGGTTCTTAATAGGTCACCATAAGACACCAGTAGAGTTGTGGGGGCCAGGGAACCTTGGAAATCCCCATGGTTGACCATCTTCATCTAGAAAGGCTGGAGCTTGGACAAGGGGTGGCATGAGCTCAACCTGAGGTCGTGCGAAAGTCAGGATTCCCACCCTGGATTCACTTGTGAGGCTCCTGCTAAAAACCCTAGGACCCAGTGTCCCACACCTGAGAGCTGAGGAGGAGGAGGTGGACAACACAGCCAGAAGATTCGATGCCTCCTTACCAGGCAGCAGGGTCATACTCGGCCCAGACACGCACGTACTCATCCAGGTGGTGGGGGCCCAGGATGGAGGAATCTCGCGTGAGGTACTCGAAGTTGTCCATTATGACAGCAACAAAGAGATTCAGCATCTGGGGGCCAAGGGGGCCAATAGGAGTAGAGAGGAGACCATAGGGGTAGGGGCAAGGGACACAGAGATCCAAGGGGAAGAGGAACAGACCAGATGGGGAAGGGTGCAAACACAAATGGCACAGACACAAAAGACACCCACTCCGAGGCCAATGAGAGCGGAAGCCAGCGGCAAAGGGGAGAGAGACGGGTAGACATACACAGAAGCAAAGCCTGAGAGAGACGTACAGTTGGAGGAAGGGGGTGCTGTATGAGCCCGGGCCAAAACTAGGGCCTGCTGCAGTCCATATCCACCCACCGGAGATAAATTCAGGTTTTCATTGGGGTTTCAACTGGGGAGGCCCTGGGCCTCTGCAGGAGGGAGTGTCTGCTACTGACTCAAAGTAGGGGAGTCAGGGTGTTCCTTAACATCCTACAGTGCACAGACCCACAGCCACCCATCCAGATGTCACTATGTGGGAGACAATTTGTCAGTAGCAGGAAGGGAGCAAGCCCTCCACTCCAGACACAGTCTACAGAGATTCATTTGCCCAGATCAGTGCCAGGGGTAAGGACATGACCCTCCGTGTGTGCACAGACTCGGCAGGGTAAGGACATGGCCCTCCATGTGTGCAAACTCACCAGGAATGAGCAAAGGAAGATGAAAGAGACGAAGTAGAAGTACGCAAATTCGTTGCCACACTCGGCCGCGGTGATCCCGGAGTTCTTGTCGCACGGCTTCCCACTGAGGCACGAGAGCATGATGTTGTGCCATGCTTCCCCGGTGGCGCTCCTAAGGATAGGCAGCATCGGTGACCCATGACCTGGGCTCTGGCCCCAAGTGGACACCACTGCTTCCTAGAGGGTACTGGGCTGAGGCTTTGGGCTAGCCAGTCATGGGCCCGAGACCCAGGGACCATCCTCTTTCCTTAAGTGTCAGAGGGCTCAGAGGGCTATGTCGCGCCTTCAGAATCCACAGGAAGGGGTCAGTGAGGTGGCTCAGTGAGCACAGGTTCTTGCCACAAGGCCTGACCACCAGGGTCCCTGGGTCCCACACGAGGACTGACTTCAACATTCCCCCATCGCCACCTGTGTGACAGATGCGCCACGCCCCCCAACAGTACGATTTTATAAACGGAAGAACAGAAAGCAAAGTGCGTGAGAAGCCTGAAGTGAGGAGGCTGCGGTGGGGCCTGATGGTGGGGGCCGACTGAGGATGTCTGTGTGACTCAAAAACTTTCCTCTCTCCACATTCCCATCTCTTAGTGATTTGTCTCCAGGTTGCTCACCAGGCATGCCAGGCTCTTCCCTGTCTTCGAGCACATCAGCCATGCTCCTGCCTCAGGGCATTCGCACTGGCTATGTTTTTGCCTGGCTGTCCTTCCTTCCCAGGATCTCTGTACCCTACAGGTCTCACTCTAAAGCCTAGGCTGGCCTCCTACTCCCAGTCCTCCTGCCTCTTCCCATGTCCTGGCACTGCGGATGAGCACTGCAACACACTGCTTCCCATGCTCTCTCAACTTGTGTGTGTGTGTGTGTGTGTGTGTGTGTGTGTGTGTGTGTTTTGAGATAAGGTTTCTCTGCGTAGCCCTGACTATCCTGGAACTCACTCTGTAGACCCGTCTGGCTTCGAGCTCACAGAGATCCACCTGCCTCTGTCTCCCAAGTGTTGGGATTAAAGGTGTGCGCCACCAGGCCCAAAATAATATTATTTTTAACATTATCTTGTGTGTGTAGTTTAGACTGGACTTTCTTCTTCAATTGTGGTGTTGTACAGCATTCTCCTCTAAGGCAAACTATTGGATCTTGCTAAGACCAACTGTGTCTGCTCAGGGAAGAGCGTCACAGGGGCTACAGAGATGGACAACCACAACAGACAGGCTACTGTGGATGGCATAGGCAAGGTGGAAGGGAGCCCACGAGGCCTCTACCCTGCCCAAAGAACTATAGGCAATTAAGGAATGCTGAGAGCAGGGGAAATCAAGTTCTCCACTTCCAAAAGGTCAACCTGAAAACACACTATAACATTGTACAGATTGCGTAGGTTGTATTTATGGACTTGGGAATAGTGTTTAAAAGAGAGTACAAAGCAATAAGGGATTGTTGTTCTTGTAGGACACTAGTGTTCCCAGGACACACACACACACACACACACACACACACACACACACACGGCAGCTTACAGTAACTTCTGTTCTGAGGGCCCTGACACCTTCTCACCTCTGGAGGGCTCTTGCGTGCATGTGGTGCACATACAAATGTAGAGATGCGTGTTTACACATACAAAATTAGATACATCTTTAAAAAGATCGCCACAGCTGGACCTGTTAACTTCTGATGGTCCTTCATAGGAGGAGGGCATAGGCGGGGTCACTGGACCCTCGCTGAGCATCCAGCCCCTCCTCCCCGCCAGCTAGAGTATACAGGCTGGGAAGACTAGGGACAGAGGGCGGCACCTGCACAGCTATGGGGACGCCACTGTCTGCACTGAGTGAAGACTTTCCAGTGTGGCTTCAGGTCACCCACACTCCTGTGGGAACCCCTCAGCCATGCCCTGCAAGCAAGCCCTATTAACCCTTCGGTCTCCCAGGGTGAACTTCGGTTTGTCCTTAGGACCTTAGGACCTGTAGAGAAAAAATTCTCACAACAGGTGGTAAATTTATTAACATTATTGCGTCTTCTGGTGTGAGAAAGAAGACTGGTAAGTAAAGGAAAATGCTGGAAGGATGTAAACATGGAAAGAGCATCAGTGAAGCAGAGGTTATAAATGAAGATTAAGATGGCTGGATGTTTCCAGAATGAAAGAGAAAGCCAGGAAGTCTACGCATGTTATAAAGGTTTGCCTAAGTCATTCAAAGTTTGTAAAAGATGAGACTTAAAGATTACACACACGACATTAACATTTCTAAGGTCAAGGTTCAATATATTGATGCTAAACGTCTGTTTAAATCAATGGTGCTATTGATTCGCTCTTGACTATAGCAAGGACTGGCTTAAAGGACAAACATATATGTCTAATCCGTGTTTCTTGTAAAAGTGTTTTGGTTTTGTAGTTAAAATACCTGACTGCTGTAACTGACCTGAGTGTTCAATGACCATGCTTGGAGGCCTGTGCAGGTGTGTGCAGAGGGATCAAGAAGACAGGACTTTCTTCCTTTCCCTCCAAGGTCAACTAGATTCCAGGGCACTGTGGGACTTCTCTAACACGTCCTGTACCTATAGGGAGTTGCCATGGAGACCCACCAGGTGAACAGTAACTAGTGTCCAGTCCACAAAGAGGAGTCAACACAGGGCAGAGGACAGAGTCTCAAGGCTTCCAGAGAACTCACTGGTAAGCCTTAGATTTGTCCTCGCATAGATGGAGCGACTATTAAAGGAGCCAAAGGTTCCTCTCAAGCCCAAGTAGTGAACCCCAAGGACCAGACCTGCAAATGGGCTTGACAGGAGAAAAACAAAAGCAAAGAAAGTGACTGATTTGGTCAATTGCATGGTCTTAACTGCCCAGTCAGAAGTGAAACAGAAGACTAATGGTTGGCATCTCCTCAAAAGTGCAAGGAGTTGGCCTCCCCAGACTCTGTGCTGGGCATGATGGTGTACATTTTTAATCCAATAATTTAGGAGGCAGAAGCAGGTAGATCTCTGTGAGTTCAAGGCCAGCCTGGTCTACATAGTGAGTTCCAGGACAACCAGACCTATGTAGTGAGACCCTATTTCAAAAAACAAACAAATTCTGCTTTAATTTTTGTTTGTTTAAAATGCTCCATTATTTTTATGTGCATCGGTACTTCGCATTGTCTGTGTGCGAGCAACAGACAATTGTGAGCTGTCAGATGGGCACAAGGCACTAAACCCAGGTCCTCTGGAAGAACAGCCGGTGCTCTTAACTACTGAGCCATCTCTCAGTTTCCAGTTTGTTTGTTTTTTTGAGGCAGGGTTTCTCTGTGTAGCCCTGGCTGTCCTGGAACTTGCTGTGTAGACCAGGCTGGCCTCAAATGCAGAGATCTGCCTGCCTCTGCCTTCCGAGTGCTGGGATTAAGGGTGAGCGCCACCATCGCCTACTCAGTCACTCAGATTAAGACTTCAGATGCTGGCTCACAGAAGGACTATTTGTAGTCCTTTTTAAACTAAAAATTCAAATTTCTTCTCTTTCTCGAGCCATCTGCGAGGGACCACACCCTGATTCTAATCAACCCAACAGCTATGATATTGCCTGAAAACAGATCTTAAGTTCATCACTGTGGAATTAGGTCATGAAGGCCAAAGGGAAATTGAGGAGGAGCTCGGCAGACGGATGCTCTTGTGAGCGCATCCAAAGACCCTAAAGGACATGATCTGGACGTGTCTCCTGGCTCTCCTGGTCCTGCCTAAGCAAATACCTCTTGCTCTTCCCTCACATCTCCTTCCACAGAACTGTCAAGGCTTCCTTTCCTCCCACACCTGATAGTTGAGGTCAGATGTGCCCTCTGAAAGGGTAACCCAAACCACACTTGATACCCCAGTTCAGCTGGGAGGAGCCAGTCTGGCTGTTGTCAGAAACTCCCACCAGCATTAGCATTCAGCATTAGGGTCCCCTCTTCAGGCAATGACGGGAACAGGAGGCAGAAACTGTCTGGGTAGTTTAGGGGAAAAAGATTAAAGTAAACAGATTTTTTTTGTTTGTTTTTTCAAGACAGTGTTTCTCAGTGTAGCCTTGGCTGTTCTGGAACTCACTCTGTAGGCGAGGCTATCCTTGAATTCACAGAGATCTGCTTGCTTCTGCCTCCCAAGTGCAGGGATTAAAGGTGGGCGCCACCACTGCTCAAAATAAACAGATTCTTTCTTGGTTTAAAGCCAAAAATATCCTTGTGCTTCTTAGCAGCCCCATCCTTATATCAGAGACCAGATATGCTGTGTTGGTTGATTTTACACCAGTCTGACACACATTCTGGCTATCTGAAAGGAGGGAACCTCCAGTGAGAAAATGCCTCCATAAGATCTGGTTGTAAGGCGTTTTCTTAATTAGTGATTGATGGGGGAGGGCCCAGCCCAAGCCCATTGTGGGTGGTGCCATCTTTGGGCTGGTTCCTGGCAGCACCCCTCCATGGCCTCTGCATCAGCTCCTGCCTCTAGGTTCCTGCCTTGAGTTTCTGTCCTGACTTCCTCCAGTGATGAACAGTGATGAGGAAATACAGGCCAAATGAACCTTTTTCTCCCCAACTTGCTCTTTGTCCATGGTGTTCTGTCTCAGCAGCACAAACCCTAAGACATATGCTAAAGTGTTTCGAGGGCCCTGAATTCGATCAATTTCCTAAACAATTCTAGGGTCACCATTTCAGCAGAGAGCACAATAAAACAGCAGTCTACTGGATAGTTTTATGTTCACTTGACATGGCTTCTGTATCAGCTCCTGTCTCCAGGGTTCTGTCCTGACTTCCTTCAATAATGGACTATGATGTGGAAGTGAAAGCCAAATAAACCCTTTCTTCCCCAGCTTGCTTTTGGTCATGGTATTTTTTCGCAGCAACAGAAACCCTAATTAAGACAAAGTAGTAAATGTCTGTTGAGACAAAACTCCTGGTCAAGAGAACACTTGCCATCAAGGGTGAAAAGCTCACATTCCAGCTGGGCCAGGCCAACCAGCTGGTGACGGGCTCTTTCTGTAGGAAGGAGGCTTACTGTGAACTATGCTTAAGCCATCACCTAGAATAATAATAGTTTTCTGTTGCTAGAAACTTCTAATGGTCCATATATCTGGGTAAGTTTGGGGGGAGGCGTGTAACAAAGGGAGGAAATTGTGAGAAACATCTTTTGTCTGTTGAAGGTAGTTAGCCCAACAACGGCTCATGTTTTCTGGATCTTCCTTGTCCCTTTGCACAACTGGCTACTCATATCCGCGTGGGAAGTAGAGTTGCCCCCAATGGGATGAAAGAGCCACTACCTGTGTCAGGGACAAGAGACAGAAGCTACCTGGGATCTGATGTGCTTGCTGGTTGGGTCTTGTTGCACGCTTTGTTTCATTAGCGTGTTCCTTTGTGGGACACGAATTATTCTTTGTTTCTAACTTCTGTAAGACAGGGTCTCACAAGTCTCCCACTTCAAAAGGGGGTCGGGAGGATTCAACTAGGTAACAGCTGGAGTGTTCCTTTTTTTTTTTTTTTGTGTGTGTGTGTGTGTGTGTGGTTTTTCGAGACAGGGTTTCTCTGTGGTTTTGGAGCCTGTCCTGCAACTAGCTCTTGTAGACCAGGCTGGTCTCGAACTCACAGAGATCCGCCTGCCTCTGCCTCCCGAGTACTGGGATTAAAGGTGAGCGCCACCACCGCCCGGCTGGAGTGTTCCTTCTATGCTCCTCACCTGCGGGGATCCTTGTCCCGAGAGGGCCAGTGGGAAAAGGGTAGCTGGGCAGACTTAAGTTAACCCCGACAGGAAGAGTCCACATCTCCAGCCAGAAGAGTAATGAACACACAGAATGAAGGCAGGCTCACATGCAACCCAAAGAGACGCACGACCCCTACCCCACCCCCTCACCGGAAGAGGAGCATGAGCGCCTGGAAGAAGGTCCGGAAGTTATTGTGCTCAGTGATTTGGAACTCGTCCTCGTCGCTGTCCTCGTCATCCCCGTCAATGCCGATGTTGCCAAACACCTGGAGAGTGGGAGGGTGACGACTGGGGCGGTTACAGGGTCCCCGGCTCCCTCTGAGGCAGGCTCCCCTCCCGCAGCCCTGATACCCCAAGGGTGCGGGATCACCTGCATCCCGATGATGGCGTAGATGAAGAAGAGCATGGCGATCAAGAGACAGACATATGGTAGGGCCTGGAGGGAAGGAAGGCAGTGAGGAAGGGTGCCAGACAGCTTGCCCAGAACTGTCCTCAGAGTCAAGCGACCACGTGCCCCTGGCGGTAGGGTAGTGAAGAGGCCTCGGAGTTCTGCAGACACTGCAGCCCAGGGTGGTGCTTTAACCACTTTCAGTCTGCTTTCCTCATTTTGCTCAGAGTTAGGGATCTGCTCTGGCTTGGACCAGCAGCAGGAGCAGCCGCTTTGGCTCACCTTGAAGGATTGCACGAAGGTCCAGAGGAGAATGCGGATGGTGTAACCTTGCCGAAGGAGTTTGATGAGTCGGGCGGCACGGAAGAGACGGAGAAAGCTCAGGTTGATGAAGTTATTCTGAGGAGACGAGGAAGAAAGGTGACCATCCACCCACCCTGCGGAGCTTAGAGTAGTCAACACTCACAGAGGCCCCTACAAGAAGCCAACCAATAGGGAAAAAAAGCAAGCCACACCCCAAATAAGGAGGGAGAGGAGAGAAAGCACTGTTAATGCAATAGAGCAGGGGGGAACTTAAAAAAAAAGAGTGGGGTAGGGGAGGCGGGTGGGGAAGGAAGAGATATCAACTCAAAAGCTTAAGCCCACCCAGCCAGGCCCACTCACAAGTGGGGGAAAAGGGAAGGAGGAGGAGAAAGAAACAGGGTCGGGGACGAAATAACAAAAGAGTACGGAAAAGAAAATAATACATCAGAATCATCCAATCAGGAAAAAAATCGAGATGGTTTTTATTTCTCCCAACAACCAAATGCACTGAGACGATAGGACACAAGCGGGTCAAGTTGCAGAACCCAGCACAAGAGTACGAAGCATAGACACGGGCGGGGTGGGGGAAGGGCGCCAGCACACGCAGGCCTAGGGGGCAAGTGCGGTTCCGAGGCATGTTACGCTCGGGGCCAGAAATGCATCTGTCCTGGGACTCACCGGGCACCCTGCCCTGCCCTGCCCTGCCCTGCCGAGCTACCCACCCGCTCCTGCCCGCCCTGACCTCACCCCACGGCCCAGAGGAGGAGCGGCTGGAGCCAATGGGGAGAAGCGGAAGGGCATCTTTTCTTACCCCCTTGGCGAGCGGGAATGGGGAGGACGGGAGGGAGCTGGGGCTGTTCGGCTGCAGGGTGAGTCCTCGCTGCCCGCTGAGTCGGAGAAGATGCATTAGGGGCCCTTTTCCCCCCTCTCAGGGATGGCTTCTCAGCTTCTGGGGCTGGGTGGTGTCTCGGGACCAGGCCTGCGGGAAGCAGGAAGGTCTCAGCTCCCGGGGCGAGTGAGCTCTGATCAGCCCAGGGCCCACCAAGGGGCCAGTGCTGGGAGGTGGGGGGGATGAAGCTATCCTTGGCCCCAGGACTTCCCTGTCCTCCAAACCCAGGTCTAGTCGCTGCCTCTGCGGCCTCCCACCCAGGCTGTAATTGGGGAGAGGCTGGCTGGAAACTGTGGGCAAGGTCTAGGACTCTCCAGGGGGCTTCAGGTGAGGTTGGTGAAGGTGGGAAGTGACCCAATATAGCCAATGAAAGTAATTTGTTGGGCCTGATTTTTTTTAAATAAGTGACTAATTCTAAAAATCAGATTTTGCCTACCATTCTGGGTTTTTGGCTCCCCAAGCCTCTCATAGCTGAGCCCTGGAGTCCAGCTCCATGCTCTCCAGTTTCCTAATCTCTCCCATCACTGGCCCACAGAGCATTTGAGTTTCTGCCTGGGGCCCACGTGGTCACTACCTGGAGGCAGGTGGGCCAGAGGCTTACTGGTGCCCCAGTCTAAGGATCTGTAGGAGTCCTGAATACAGGTCACGAGGCAAAACTGAATGAGGGCTAGTGACAAAAGGTGCTTGCTTGTGGAAGTGAGTGGCTTTGACAACAGCATCCTTCCTGTTTTTGACATGTCCCTATTTGCACAATGGATCATTTATTTATTGCGACAGGGTTGTGCTATCACCCAGGCTGATCTTGAATTTGAGATCTTCCTGCCTCTGACTCCCAAGTGCTGGGATTACAGGGGGCATTTCTGTTTTTTGGGCAGTGAATGATGTGTTTAACCTGCTTCCCAGAGGCTTCTCTTTGCTGGACCTGTGCCTTGAGCTAGCTCTGGCTTGGAAGCTGAGAGGCAGTGACTGGAGTTTGAAGAATTTCTGAGGCTGGTAAGAGGCCTCTGGGATAAAAGACTTGTCCCTAGGTTTCTGGGATGGGGAGTAAGCCTTGGGCTCCTACATTAGGGCACTGCTGGGTCTAACCATTGTGAGCCTGCAGACCTAGCTAAGAGTCACCCTCCATGGCCCGCTGACCTGATGCCTGGTCCTGCCTGGCCACCAGTTCCACTGTGGATGGGACCACTAATCAAGTATTCCTAACCCTTTCCCTCAACCCTCCAGAGAACAAGCCATCCCTTCAATGGGGCAGATCATAACATGTGGGCTTGGCCGGACATGCAGAGGCAGGGGTTCTTAGGAGCAGCTTGGGGGCGAACTGGCACATGCAGAAGCAGGGATCTGGCAGCTGCTAAGCATGCACACACATGAGGAAGGAGGGGGTAGGGACTGGAGAAGTCAGGGGTCTTAGGCCTCATCTGCTCCTCCAGCTCTTCCTGGGTCTGCATGGAGTCCTGATAGCACACAGAATTCCCAAGAGGAGTCCTTTCTACTCAAACTCCACCCTGTGCTCCAGCAGCAGAGGATGCAGGCTCAGGTGTGTGGGAGTATCCTGGACCTTGTGTTCCCTGCCAGCGACATGCTCAAGGGCAGGTGTCCCTTGGGTTTGCAAAAAGACATGAGCACCACTTACTCCAGATTCCAAGTGCTCACTACCTGCCAATGTGCTTCTCTCCCAGCCCTTCCCTCAGGCCCCAAACTGGGGTTCTTTGGGGGCATCCAAAGGGTGCCTCAGACTGGCTAGGGGTGTTCTCCTTAGAGCCCTGGTCTCCTCCCAATCCTAACTTCCATCACTAGCTTCCCAAAGACACCCAGCTCTACCCCTCCCCAGGCCCTGCACAGGGCCCTCCTGCCACCTCTATGTCCCTTGGTGCTTCCTGGCAATCTTATCCAATCTGTCCCAGAAGTGTCCCTGATTCAGATCCTCCCAGATCTAGTCACTGCTCAGGATGAAGCCTAGATGCCCAGTCCCTTCGTCCTTCTGAGTCAGCCTTTCTCCCTGCTGTACCCAAGTCCTCTCACTTGCAGACCCTTACCTCTGCATTCTCTTCCTGGCCAAAGGGATAAGTTAGGCCCAGAACACTTTGCTAATGCTGCCTATTCTTCCAGCAGTAGTTACAGTTTCAAGTTGAATCACGGTTGTAGGACCAAAGTCCACCTCCTCCTACTTCAGAGCAGCCAAGCAGAACGGCAATGGGGGCTACAACTTGCTCCTTTTCAGTGGCACCTAACAGGGCCCCACTGGTGTCTGGTGGATGAATGCGTGTTTACTGTGGGCACGCCACTGGAGGTCAGCAGATGGGCAGGGATGGGGAAATCACAGCTACTAAGGGTTGTGAAGGGCAGGAAATGTGGTGGGAGTAGATGTGGAGCACACACAGGCTGTGTGTGTGGGAATGCACGTGCATGTTGCGATCTTGAGGTTAATATTAGATTTCTTTGCTGATTCATATGCCATCCCCCTGCCCCCAGCAGGATCTCATGATTTCTCTGTAGCTTTGGAGCCTATTCTGGAGCTTGCTCTGTAGACCAGGCTGACCTTGGACTCAGAGATCCACCTGCCTCTGCCTCCCAAGTGCTCGGATTAAAGGTGTGCACCACCACTGCCCAGTTTTTTTTTTTTTTAAATTAAATCGGGGACAGGGTTACTGTAGCTCTGGTGGACTGAAACGTGCTATGTAAACAACCTGGCCTCACACTGCGGTCTTCTAGCCTTAGCTTCCTGAACTCTGAGATCACAGTTTGGTGCCACCACTATGTCAGCTCTGGGATGGCTGAGAATTAGGGGTGTGAGTGGGGTGGAGAGGGGTCACACCTTGGGGGCCTAGAGGAGGGAGAACATCCTTTCTTGACAAGGACACAATCCTTTGGAGCCAAAGCCCAATCCAGAGTCCAGTAAAACCAACCAGAGGGAGCTCTAGGAAAGGGGAAGAGGGCGGGAGACGGACAGAGGCGGGTGGGCGGGGCATGCAGTGCAGTCACAGTTAATGTAAGGCATTTACACTTCAGAAAGAGGTAACACCAACCGGATTCTAGATGCAGATGTTGAAGATGGAGGGGGAGCGGGCGGGCGGGGGCAGTTGGGGAGGCGATTCAGCATTTTGTTTTGTTTTGTTTTTTTTTTTTTAATTTAATTTTTTAGGTGGATTTGTAACCAGTGCCAAAAACCAATGGGTTTCGGTTCCGGGCGGGGAGTGGGGTGGCGGTGGCGGTGGCGGTGGGTTGGGAGGTAAGTCATTGGTGTATGGACACACAGACCACGTCATGGGTGAACAAATGGATTTCATAGTGCATTTTGATTGGATGAGTTTTTCAGACGGCGTTGAGCCAATATACAGTTTAAACAGCAGGCATGGAAAGAGACAAGACAAGAAACACAGTCATTATCCATCGCACATGGGCAAACCCGCCCCCAGCCAGATCTGGGCAGGACATTAAAGCCCAGGGCTGTGCTAGCCTCTTAGCCTCTCGACCCAGAGGGAACTAACTGCCTTCCTGCTTTCCTAGCTCAGCTTGGCTCCAGCCTTAAGGATAGTGGCCTTACCTGGGTCCCAGACAGGGGCTACCAGCACCTAGTGCAGGGTTAGGACAGGTCATATGTCTATCCAACATCTTCCCCTCAAAACGATGGTGTCTTAGGGCAGCTTCACTGTGCACCAAAGTACACACATGGGGACAATAACAATGGTAATAATAATAACCACTGGGAACCGAATTTTGTGGCAGGTTTTGTGCCAAGCACTTCAGAAGGTTGACTTTTTTGTGTACTACTGTGGCTAGGTGCAGGGTCTCCCACAAGCAAAACCAGAGCTCTACCACTGAGCCACACACCCAGATCCTCACCAGCGGGTGGGGTAGGATTTGAGGCATGTGTTCTGCCGTGGGGCCATGCCCCTAACCCTCACTGTGGGACTGTAGGCAGGGGCTCTACCATGTAATTGCACTTCCAGCCCACTTACTTTTTTAAAATTACAGTTATTATTTTGTGTGCCTTTGTGGGTCCCAGGGATTGAACTTAGGTAACTTAGTTTTGACTGAGAATGGCTCCCATTGGCTCCCATATTTGAATACTTAGATTCCAGTTGGTGGAACTGTTTGAAAAGAATTAGGAAGGGTGGCCTTGTTGGAGGAAGTGTATTGCCAAGTTGGAGGGGGGTTGAGGTTTCAAAAGTCCACGTCCTTCCTAGGTAGCTCCTGCTCCCTTTTCTTCTGTGTGTGCCCCATGTAAGTTCTCAGCTACTTCTCCAGCTCTATGTCTGTGTGCCTGCTCCCATGCTTCCTCCACGATGATCGTGAACTCTACTGCTGGAGCCGTAAGCCCTCAATTAAATGTTTCTTTTATAGGTTGCCTTGGTTTTGGTGTCTCTTCACATCAACAGAAAAGTACTTTAAGACAGGCTTGGTGGCAAGCGCCTTAATCCACGGAGCCCTCTCGATGGCCCCTAACTGTTACTATCTATTCTCCTTTCTACACAGAAGCCTCTGCGGCAGGCACTCTGTGTGCCTGATGTTTTGTCTTGCTCTTTTTGCTCTGTCTCTAGCACCTATAACTCTGCTGGAAACAGCAGGTACTCAATATGTGCCTGCCCAAGTCATGTGTGGAACTGATGAGTTCATCCCTGCTGCCTAAGAGATGATCTGACAAGAGCCAACCGGGTGGCTGGGAGGGCTGTGTGGCTATTATGATGGTCCAGGTGTCTCTGAACTGACTTCTGTGTGTCACCGTCCTACTTGCTAGAGAAAGCAGTCAGGATGAACCCTAAGGACGTCTTACTGGCAACTCCAAGTTTCAACCAGCTCCTTCCACCTGCTCTGCTGGGGTGCAGACAGCTCCTCCCAACCTCTATAAAACCACAGGGATACCGCTCAAGGCTGCCCTGACTCTCCCTTCTGAAGGCCCTAGAAGTGCCAGCTTTACAGAAGTGGGAAAAGGGTTGAGTCTGTTCTGGGGTTTCCATAGCTGGCAGGAATCAATCAGGCCTTGGGTGACCTCTGGTCTCCTGGTGCTGGGGTCAGTTTCCTGCTGTGTGAACTGAGACAGCTCACTCCCATCCGTCCCATGCAGGACTTCTTTCCTCACACCATTTCTTCTAGGTCAGCAAGGGGCATCGCTGGAAGAGGACGAGGGAGGCGGGTCCTCTCCCCACTGGGCTTTGCTGGCTGCTACTCTGGTCTGTCCCAGTCCTTCCCACTTCAGCATGGTGTTTCACTGGGTGGCTGGGCATTTGGAGGTCCTCGAATGCCTCCCCTGGACAGTGTTCGTGCTCATCATTCCTCAGTCCAACCCTTTGAGACAGTTCTTCTCTGCTCTCAGCCCAGAGCTTCAATGGGAGTCAGTTCATATGAGGTGAATATTGGTACAATATTCTCAATGTTTCTTTCTTTCTTTCTTTCTTTCTTTCTTTCTTTATTTATTATGTATACAATATTCTGTCTGTGTGTATGTCTGCAGGCCAGAAGAGGGCACCAGACCTCATTACAGATGGTTGTGAGCCATCATGTGGTTGCCGGGAAGTGAACTCAGGACCTTTGGAAGAGCAGGCAATGCTCTTAACCACTGAGCCATCTCTCCAGCCCTCTCAATGTGTTTTTTGTTTTTAATTTTGTTTTGGGGTGAGGAGACCAATCTAGGGTCTTACACAGGTCAAGCCAACACTCTGACTCTGCAGCTGTGCCACACTCCTGTTGGGTTATTATTATTCCCATTGTCATTGGAGGCAGAACCCACTCCACAATTGGCCCTGGGCATTGATGGTTTGCTTTTTGCCTTCTGGTCCCTTACTTAGTTTCTGAGGGTTCCCAAGCCTGAGCTCACTGGCTCATGGACAAGGACAAGGTCTTGGAGAGGAACTCTGCAGCTCTGGATTTACTTGAAATGGGGTAAGGACAATGTGTCCTGAGAGGCCTATTTGGAATCCCTGGGGCTTGGGGGAGGGCTGTTATTCTAGGAACTACTCTAAGGCCTTGACGGTGCTATTCCCATCATGGCCAGCAGGGGGTAGTGGAACCCAACCTTGTGAGCCGGTTGGAGCAGTAGCTCAGTTCTATTTGCCTTTAAATGTATGAATTCTCAAAGTAGTGAACTGCGTTGCTTGTTCTAAGTCACACTCTTTGTCTGTCATTCACCAACCACCAGGCAGGGAAGCACACCGCTCAGTCCTGGCCTATGTCCTGGCTTTGGACACACCCATCTCCCTCCCTGAGACCTTAAGGGGCTATTTGTGCACCCCAAAACCACCACCCAGACAACTCCACACTCATTTCCCATCTCATGCTGTGCACCTGAAGCCCGGCTCTGATCATAGCCCACTGTGCCCCCCGGAACTGCTGCTTCTGGACCCTTCCTGCCACTGCCCACTACTCCAGCCTGAGTTACCCAGAAAGAAGCTGGTAGGAGACTTACCCCAAACTCGGTGACGAGGATGTCTGTGATGCTGCCCAGAACAGTCACAAAGTCGAAGATGTTCCAGGCATCACGGAAATAATTCTGGAATAGGGACCCACAAGACGGAAATGCTAACAGAGGATTCCGTGCCTCACTCCCCAAGTCCAGAAGGGGCACGTGAGGGCAGGACAAAGGTGTGGAAAGAGTGAAACCCTCTGTTCCTGAGCCCTGGTCCTTGACAGCTTGCCCCAGAGGGAATGTGGGGACCTGCCTCTGCTCTTCAAGCCCCCAGACATCACTGAATTCCTCAAAGACACTAGAAGTGGTGACCAGAAAGCGATCCTCAATCTTTGTCTCTCTCTGCTACCCTCTGCCCCTCCCTCCCTCCCTCCTTCCCTCCCTCCCTTCTCCCCTCCCTATCTCTTCCCCCTCTTGTACACATACACGTGTTCACGTGTGTGTAGGCTAGAGGCAAAGTGAGGCGTTGTTCCTCGGGAGACACCCATCTTGTTTTTTGACACAGGGTCTCCTGCTCATCTGGAGCTCACTGATTCAGTCAGGCTGGCTGGCGGGCCAGGGAGCCCCGGGGATCCTCCTGACTCTGTCTCCCTCATTACAGATGTGCACCACCATGCCTGGCTTTTTTTTTTTTTAAACTTGTAGTGACTTCAGCACCAACCCCTCACTCTTTTTTTATTAAATATTTATTTATTTATTATGTATACAATATTCTGTCTGTGAGTCTGCCTGCAGGACAGAAGAGGGCACCAGACCCCATTACAGATGGTTGTGAGCCACCATGTGGTTGCTGGGAATTGAACTCAGGACCTCTGGAAGAGCAGGCAATGCTCTTAACCACTGAGCCATCTCTCCAGCCCCCCATGCCTGGCTTTTAAATGACCTTTAAAAGGTGAATTATCATGTGTGTATGTAGGTGTCAGACTCCCTGGAGTTGGAATTACAGGCAGTTGTGTGTGTGTGGGGGGCTTCGTGTGGTGCTCAGGATCAAACTCAGGCCCCCATGCTTGCAGTTTATAGACGACACCCATCTCCCTGGCTCTGACTAACCCCATGCCAGCTGACTATTCCAGGTGGTGGCAAAATGCCTCCCTGATGAGTGAAACAGAAGCCTCTGTTGATAGCAGCCTCGCATTTGGGGCATGTGTGTTCCTTTGACCACTCCTGACTGACCCATGTTCCAACTGTGTACTGGCTCAAGAGGGGCATTACAGGCTGAACTCTTATTCGGTGTTCTTTGGTGACAGTCAGAGACTCAAATCTCCAGAGACCTCTGCTCCAACAAAAAACTCCAAGGGAGCAACTTTTCCCTTGACCTTCAGGCCGTCCTTCCTCCTCACTGGGAAGGCTCCAGAGTTCAAGAGCTCCAGGTGCTAGCAGGAGGTGCTCAGCAGGTGAGTGCTGGGTACTACACTTGCCTGGAGGGAATGCAGGTCCCCATGGCACTTCTGGTATTTGGACCTACCCTTGCCCTCCTACCATCACGGGCTTTCTTTACTTTCCCACGGTTAGGGCCTGGCAGAAGTTCCTAATTGATAGGTAGCCCCTGGGTGTTCAATACTCCACCTCCCTCCTGAGATCAGTGCAGTCAACTGTGCTCTCTGCTGCCACCTGGAGGCCTCAGGTGGAATGGCCTCAGGCACTTCCCAAGCTAAGCGCTGGCTGTGTCAGAAGACACTTTCCACAGGTGGCAGTGGAGTCCCTGTCCTTGACTCTTCTCCTCTCCTGCCCATTTCAGGAGTCACCTCCCAAGTAGGTTCCCTGCATTAAATCCTCACCTCAGACTCGGCTTCTAAGGAAGACTCAGCGAAGACAACGTCTAGGTGTCTGGCCACTGATCTTACTAAGCTCGGGTTCTGTCACCTGAATGTCACATGAGGAATTTCTAGTTTTCTGTGAAAGGCTGTGGAGCCTCAACCCTGGCACTGTGGAAGACTGGCTGAGAAGAAGGCAGCTCCTCTCAGTTGCAGGAGGCCAATGCTCCAGCTCTGGTTTCTCAGAAGTGCCAACCAGTGCAAAGATAAGGAGGGATTGGGAAGTGTTCACTCAGTTGGGAAGGACTTGAACCCATTTTGGGTTAAACTGGGAGCTGACAACTTCCTGTGACCACTGGGACTCATCCTCCACGACTCTCCTGTGCAGCACACCCCACAGGGGCCATGGGACTTCTCAGCTGTGCTATCTGCCTGCAGACACCTAGCAGGGACTCCGCTCAGTGCCCCACTGCTCAGGCTGTGCCTAATGGAGCCTTCTGGGAATCCTCATTACAAAATACAAGTTTGAAGCCAGATGTGCTGGTGCATGCCTTTCATTCCAGAACTCTGGAGACACAGGTAGTTCCAGTCCACTCAGGGCTACACAGAGAGACCTTGTCTCAAAAAAGACCAAAACAAAAGAAAACAAACCCTACAAAACTGGGCTGGGCTAGAATGCTGCTGCCACCTGTGTGCTCCAGAACTCGGAAGGCTGAGGCAGGGAACTTGAGAGTTTGAGACCAGCCTGGGCTACAGTGTGAATATATAAAAACAACAGTTTTCTAAGTTTTGGGGCTGTTACCCAACAACACGGAACTGCTGGAGGTGGGTCTGGAACGCTCCAACTTTAAGACTTTTGCCCATGTGCTGTGTGTGTGTGTACATGTGTATGCACACATGTGAATTTGGGCCACACCTGTGGATGTCAGAGGCCAGACATTAATCAAGGGTGTCTTTTGAGACAGGGGTTCTCACTGATCTGGAGCTCGCTAGGCTGTTTGGCTAGTGCACCTCAGGAACTGTCCCCAGAGCCGGGGTGCACTATGACACGTGTGTCTGAGTCATCTCTGCAGTCCCCATGAGCTTTATTCTAGCCCTTTCTAGTATCTATAGAGCGCTCCCTCCCCACCAAGCTTCCTGGGTACTCCTTGGATGAACAGCCTAAGACAAGGACTGAGTGCAAATAACTGATTTGGGAAGTGACCCCAAGAAGGGCAGCCTTACCAGGGACTCTGCTGAAGGAGTGACCCCTTCTAATTGTAATCAGGTGACACCCCCTGGTGAAGGGGGCAGACTTTGAGGCCAAGTTTTCTGATGCTAAAGCCCTCAAGCACCTCAGTGAGCTAAGGGAGGACTCTGCCCTCCCATGTGTAGGCAGTTCACATGTACTCCAGTTGTTCTTATACCTTTAAGAAGTCCCTCAACACAACAAGTATGTGCTACCTAGGGCGGATCCGGTAAGAGTCCCTGAGGGCAGGAGGCTGGGTAATTCACCTGTGCTGCCTTGGTAGGTGGTGTAAACTTAAAAGTGGGGCCTAGTGAAAGGAAGTGAGGTCACAGGCAGTGTAGGCTCTGACTGGGGGAGGGGTGGGTTGTAAGCTGAAAGCTTTTCCTTCCCCCCCCTTCCCCCCTCCCCTGCTGCTGTTTTTTTTTTTTGTTGTTGTTTTTTAAGACAGTGGCTCTCGCACACACCTTTAATCCCAGTAGAGGCAGGCGGATCTCTGTGAGTTCGAGGCCAGCCTGGTCTACAAGAGCTAGTTCCAGGACAGGAACCAAAAGCTACGGAGAAACCTGTCTTGGAAATCCAAAAAAAAAAAAAAAAAAAAAAAACAAAACAAAACAAAACAAAAAAACAGAAAACAAAAAAACAAAAAAAAAAAAAGACAGTGGCTCACTATTTAGCTCTGGCTCTCACTGTTTGAACCAGGCTGGCTGGAGCTCACTGTGTAGACCAGGCTGATCTCAAATTCAGAGATCCCTCCTGCTTTTGCCCTCAGGGTGCTGGGATTAAGGATGAGCACCACCTCACTGGTTGTGCACAATAGTTGTCTCCTGTAGTCCAGCTGGCCTTAAGCTCCCGATCCTACTGTCTCTCAAGAGCAGTGTGTATCTACCTGAGTTCTGAATCAGTTAACACAAGCTGAATTTCAAGGTATCTGTGAGCCCTCTAAAGCCCTATAAAAATGCTGAATTTTTTTCCTTTTTCTTTTTTTTTTTAGGCTTTGTCTTGCTATCTATGTGAACCAGGCTGGTTTTGAACGTGTAATCCTCCCGATTCAGCCTTCAGTGCTGAGGTTACAGGTACATGCTACCAGCCGTGGTTTAAAAACACCTAATATTTCTGTGTCAAATGGATGCGATTAGTTATGCATTTGGTAGGGGCAGTGCCAGAGACCTACAGGTAGAGGCTAGGTAGCCAGTGCTATTGGGAGGTGCTAGATTCTCATGGGAGGGAAGCAGGCCACTGGGGCAAGCCAGCTACCGTCCTTTGTTCTTGGCTTCCTGCTGCCGTGAAGTGGACTTCCGGCTCTATCATGTGCTCCCACAGGCCAAAGACAATAGGCCCAAAGGCAATAGGGCTGAAATGACTCGGGCTAACCACTGATACTGTGAACCAAAGATAAACCTTCCCTGCTTAATAAGTTAGATATATCAGGTATTTTGACACAGCAATGAGGAACTAACACATCAAGATGAAAGCAAGCACTTAGCTCAGATGGCAGCTGATGAAAACAAGGGTGTGATTCTTCCCCTCTCATTCCACAGCTCCTCCCTCACCTGCTATCAATTCCCTCGGGGATCTCAGTGCCTTAGATTAACACTGTGCGTCTTTGCCTGATAGCACAAGCCTGTCGTTGAAGCCCTTGGGAGGCTGACACACAGGGATTGCAAGTTCAAAGCTGGCAAGGCCAGTCTGGGACTCGTTTTCATTTCTGTGTATGTGTGCATGTTCCTATGTATGTACATGTGTATACTGTGCGCGTGTAGGCCAGGGCACAAACCGAAGACTATATTTAGAAATGTTTGTCACCTTTGAGACAACGCCTCCAACTGGTCTGGAGGGTTATCAGTTAGGTTAGGATCAGGACAGGGAGCTGCAGTGTCCTCCACCCTCTCCATTCCAAGTGCAAGGATCACTGGTACCACACCTAGATTTTTAAAATAGGCCTCTATGGACTGAATATCTCATGCTTTCACGGCAAGCACTTTAGTGACTGGGCCATCTCTCAGCCTGGTAACTCAGTGAAACTCTGTCAGGGAACAGAGACAGCTCAGCAGTTAGGAGTGCTTGCTGTTCTTCTAGAGGACTGGGTTCAGTTACTAGTATCCACATGACAGTTCACAACTGTCCATAATTCTACTCTCAGGGGACTTGCTGACCTCTTCTGGTTTCCAAGGACACCAAGCCCACTTGTGATACACAAACATACATGAAGGCAAAACACCAATACACATAAATAAAATTAATTAAAAAATCAAGATGAAAGAGAAACGACAGTGAGGTGGTTCCTGAGAACTCCACTCTGGTGTCTGCTCACTGCAGTGTGAGAGCTGCTGGGTTATGCTCAAAACTGTTTTCTCTCTTTCTTTTCCTGCCTCCCTTCCTTCTTTTCTGTCTTTACTTCTGACATGTCTTACTGTGCCCCAGGCTGCCTTGAATTCCAGAGTCTCCTGCCTCAGTCTTCCAAGTACTAGGGTGACAGGTGTGCTCCAGCAGGCCTGTGTGACTACTAGAGATTTGTCCTCTGTGTTTGTGGTTTCCTGACCTCAGTATCCCAGACCAGGGTCATCTGGAGGACAGATGACATGTACCACTAGCCCCTGGTAAATCTGGATTGGGCCTTCCTGGTATTTATTTCTAGGTCAGTACAAAGCTGTGCAGATCGGGCATGGGCCTCCGCTGTGGACCAGGTCATGGGGCCCAGTGCACACACCAACCACCCCCCACCACTGAGCCCTATGTGTTCCCACCACCATTACCCGCAGGCCCTACGTACCAAAATCCCAAAAGCCATGACTTTCAGCACACACTCAAGAGAGAAGAGGGAGGTGAAGACAATGTTGAACACTCGAAGGGCGTTCTCATAGGCCACAGAGGCTCCGTAGAACTAGATGAGGAGGAGAGCAGAGAGTCAGTGGCTGCAGGTCCAATCCAAGAGCCCAGAGAGGACAACAGCTCAGCAAAGCCTCAAGCCACGAGACAGGGTCTCACCCTAGCACAGGCTGGCCTTAGAATCATGGTAATGATCCTAGCTCGGCCTCCCAAGTGCTGCAGTGACCGTGAACCCTGAGCCACAGAGCAGTCTTTATTTGTGGTGATTTTTATCTCCGATATGCTGAGTATTTATTTATTTACTAGAAAACATCTCAATGATAATGTAGCCAAACTTTCTTGTCAATTAAAAAGGTTTTTGTAAGGACTTTTGTGTTTGCCTACAGGCAGACATGTTTGTGTGCATGTGTGTTCATTATGTGTGTGAACGCCTGGATTTCAGAAAGTCTACAGGCCCTCTAGAGTTGCGAGCTGCCCTGCATAGGAACCAGAAACCAAACTCAGATCCTCATGAAAGGCAGTTAGGACTCAACCACTGAGCCGTCTAGAGCCCTCCATTTTGTATTTATTGTTTGGGGCCCCCATCTCCGACCTATTCCCATGTTCCACCAAGCAAACATTTGAGGAGGGTGTCCACTCTTCTCCATGACGCCCCCATTGAGCCCTAGAGAGCCAGGCATCTGACTTACCAAAGACCCGAGACAGGTGGGCCATGGTGTGTGCAGCCACAGGGGGACTGAAGCAAGTGAGGGAATGCAAGAGAGCTGCGGAAACCAGCCCCAGACCTAGTCCACAGTTTCTGGGAGGAAGGGAGGAGCTGGCCAGGCAGTGTGGTGGGAACAGTGTGGTGGGCAGAGAGCACAGCAGTGAAGGCTCAGAGGTAGCGGAGTGTGGTCTAGCTGGGATGCTGTGCAAGGGTCTTACATTAGGAGGGTGGGGGCTCACTCACCTTCATCATTAGCACGATGGTGTTGAGAGCGATCATCGCCATGATGGTGTACTCAAAGGGTGGGGACACCACGAACTGCCACATTCGATACTGGAAGCTCTGCTTGTTCTGGGGCATGTGCCTAGTCAGTGGCTTGGCACTGATGGCAAAGTCGATGCAGGCCCTCTGTGGGAGATGCCATTGCATGAGAAGGGCCAACGCAGGGAGGCCAGCTGCTTACAACCTCCATTGCAGCTGCCCATATCCCTTGTTCTGCTGGCACCAGCTGGGCTCCCTGCGGTCCATGCGGGCTCCTCATAAAAACTGAGTTCTGTTGCCTATGGCAACTTGGGGAGTCACCACGCTGCTGCCCTGTTTCTCTCCTGGAATCTCCCTGGCAAGACATTATCTACAGCACCAGTTTGTGAATGAGGAAAACCAGCTCCAGAGGCTGGGCTTGAGGCCCAGCCGAGAAAAGCACCGACTTTGACATAGAGCAGTGCCTGCCCTTGGGTCTCTCCCCATCCCCACTTCCCCATACCTCTCTCCCTCTCTCCAGGACTTCAAGTAGCCCAGCCTGGTTCCAAGCTGCCAAAGTCAGCAAGATGACCTCCTATGGTGCTACGGATTGGAGTCCAGGGCTTCCAGGACTCTACCGCCTGGGCTTCATTCTGACCACCTGTCTCTCCCTTGGGGACAAAGTCTCACTCTGTAGCCAGTCACTTCAAAATAATGGTCCCCTTGCTCCACCTTCTGAGTACTGGGCTAACAGGCCTGCCACCATGGCTAGCTAAACTATTCTTTATGAGTCCCTTTCTTCTTGTGTGTGTGAGAGGCTGTGGGACACACAAGAGGACGACGGGATTGTCTGGGGCTGTGGAGGCAGAGGAGTTGTCTACACAACTACAACTGGCCGGAAAGAGTCATGAGGAATTTGGTTGTTACCAGTTGAGATCTCCATGGGCATCAGGTACTAGAGAACAATACAGAGGGACAGACATTACTGGAGGAGTTGGGTATGTGACAGGCAGTGCTCGATGTCTAGTTCGGTGGGTCAGATAGGACTGTGCTCACGGGAGAGTTAAGAAAAAGGCTGATCCATCAAGGACCTTTGGGCTGTCATGGGACTTCGTGGTTTTAGCCATCTTTAGGAGGTAGGAGAGGCTCTGGAAAATGTATCTTAATGACTCACAGGAGCATGTAAATTTGGTTTGCAAAGTACCAAAGCAATTGAAAAAAGGCAAGGCAGACAAAAGGGCCTGGCCTATCCCCTGAAGACAGATTTGGGAAGACATGTATTGAGATTGAGTTCTGAAGGAAAAGGAAAGAAGTCGAATCCGGTGCTTGACACCCTGAGCAACAGTTCACTGAAGAAGGAAGGCGTGACTGCCAGGACAGTGTGCAGGGCAGGTGGGAAAGACTAACTTCTTACCAAGTTCTAAATAAACGATGGTTCAAGATATACAAAGGCAAGTTACTAAGGTGTGTGCAAGTTATAAAGGTCCAAGGACAAAAGCAAGTTATCAGATTTCTCTCTCGTTATGTTGTCATTCATGTCTTAACATTATCAATAAAATGCTGATAAGCTATTAATCTAATTCTGGCAGAGTACTACCACTACTGCAAGAGAAAGATTTTAAATTCTCTTTGGTCATTTTCTTTTTTTTTTCTTTCTTTCTTTCTTTATTAAGTATACAGTGTTCTGCCTGCATGCACGCCTGTAGGCCAGAAGAGGGCACCAGATCTCATCACAGATGGTTGTGAGTCACCATGTGGTTGCTGGGAATTGAACTCAGGACCTTTGGAAGAGCAGACAAAGCTTCCAACCACTGAGCCATCTCTCCAGCCCCCCTCTTTGGTCATTTTCTAAGGATACTTATCATTGTATAAAAACATCTGTCATGGTCATTCTGGCAAAAATATATTGCTGTTTATACAATGTATGTGTCTAAAACTTATGTTTTACAAACTTAAAGAATTCTTTTGAGTTCCAGGGAGCCGAACTGAAAGACTCACTTTAAACAGGTCAGACACACTCTTCTCAATTCCCTGGTCCTGACGCCCTCCTCCTCGACTACCAGGACCTAAGGAAATTTTTTTTCTTCCTAAACTTAACCTTGTCCTCTGCTCTGACAACACCTCGCCAGGTCCAAGAGACATTGGACAGTTCCACACCACAAATCCTGGACAGGAGTGAAGCAACCAGCTACCCCATGACCGGAATCCCAGTTTTCTCGGGTCCCCCAAGACTCTGACGCCCACAAATAAGCAGGAAGCAGTCTTGAGAACTCGTGCCCTCATGCCTAACTCCTTGCCTTTTTTTAAAAAAATATTTATTTATTTATTATGTATACAATATTCTGTCTGTGTGTATGCCTGCTGGCCAGAAGAGGGCACCAGACTTCATTACAGATGGTTGTGAGCCACAATATGGTTGCTGGGAATCGAACTCAGGACCTTTGGAAGAGCAGGCAATGCTCTTAACCACTGAGCCATCTCTCCAGCCCCCCTGCCTTTTTATTGTAAGAGAAAGGTGGGAATGTTGTAATAACAAATTTGCTGGTCTGCCCTGTCATCTGGGTACCCTGTCCCTTTAAGAGACAAGCCCCCCCCCCAATCTCCCCCCCTTCAACCTCTCTCTTCATCTCTCTGTCCTTCTTCTAAAGAGGTAGTCTCTGCCTCTCCCTTCCCTTTCTTTCTCTTTCTTCTCTTTCTTTGTTCCCCTATCTCTCTTTCCCCCTTTCTCTCTACCCTCCATACCCTCTACCCTTATACCCTTTCCAATACCCACTAAATAAACTCTATACCCAAGCTCTTTCTCGCAGGGTGTATCTGTCTGTCTCCACCTGCCAGGGGACCTGCTAGGGTTGCGCCACCAGAATCATAACACTCACTAATGTTTCCTGTTAGTGTTCCCTTAGCTGCTGAATCTCAGGAACAATGGGTACTTATTTAAAATCGATGGCGGTGGATGGTCAGAGATCCTAGACAGTCTCACAGCAAGGTTTCATATAATGCTAACCCTAGAGTGTCCTACAGACCTGGGAAAGCATCTGGGTGGGAAAGGCATTCCCAGAGGCCATAACCTTTGTAGAATGAGAACCTGAGTGACAGGGGTGAGCTTCCTCCCAGTGAGTTGTTGGCCAGGGCGTTCTCTGAGCCCCACAGACCTTTTTATAAAGACCATCGTTACTGCTCTTGGTTGCATGTCAGAAATAGTAAGAGCCTGCTGTTGAAGACAATGCATGTTGTGGTAACAAGGCTGGGGACCACTGCAGTCCCTCTCACCACTGCCTACTGTTTTTGGTGCAGCACTGAAGAGTGATGGAGATTGCTGAGGTTTGTCACCAATGGTCCCGTTCAGCTGTAGACCCCACACACTATAGTACTACCATACTAGACAAGATGTACTCCTTGGAACAATAACAGTACAATAGTTATGGATGCTAACAGCTGCTATCTGATTGGATTTAAGGCTTGCTCTGTAGGAAAGGATCCCATCCGGTCTGCAAGCCAGGACAAAATGTGTAGCTGCTGAAGTCACAAGCCCCAGTGGAGAGTCCACTGCATTCTTTCAATAAACAGAAGTGATATGTCTGTCATACTGTCTTCTAAACATCTGTGGTCCACACCTACAGATCTGCTGTTGTCAGTTTGGGTTGTGAAGGGATGTGGTGTGGGAAGTCCTTCTGTATATGTGTTGTTTTCGTTGGTTAATGAATAAAGAAACTGCTTTTATAGAGAGAAGGCAGAGTCAGGGAAAAGAAAGGCATGAGCCACTAGCCATAACCTTGCTGGTAGGTCATAAGCCTCATAGCAAAATGTTAAAGAATAGAAATGGGTTAATTTAAGACATAAGAGAGAGCCAATAAAAAGCTAGAGCTAATAGGCCAAGCAGTGATTTAATTAATACGATTTCTGAGTGATTATTTTGGGTTTGAGCTGCCGGGAGCAAACAAAGCCTATGCCAACAGGGATAGATGCCTGCCTGCCTTCCTTCCTTCCTTCCTTTTCCTTCCTTCCTTCCTTCCTTCCTTCCTTCCTTCCTTCCTTCACAAGTGGTGGTTATTACAGAGACTCAAAACTGGTCAAGTTTCAGAGAATAAGTGGCTTTTGGGGGCAAAATGTTTCAATGCTCAGCTATAAGTGGAGGAAAATTGTTATCTATATCACCAGACCCAAGGCTCAGCTAACACTGGTGAAGAAGAGGCAGAAAACATGTAACATCCAGAGTTATGTGTGGCTCTTTCTTAGGAAAACCCTTCCTCTAAGCAAGGAAGAAGGCTCACCAGGCTCAGGTAGTACAGGAAGTCCACATGACCAAAGAAGCTCACAGAGCTGTATTCAGCAGCCCCTCCACAATGCTATATATGTATAAAGAAGTGTTGAAGAAGAGACTTTTCCACTGAGCTGCCTGCAGTTGTGTAGGGAGTTCCAAGAATGGATACAGTCCTCATGAGTTGTCACCTATGCTGATGTGGGCTTTTTGGTGATGTAGTTGTCTCTGAGTCAACTATGTTTCTCTAAGTGACCCTAATAAACTCACAGGTTCACACAGCTAGGCCTGGTTGGCACTGTCTCTTTGATTGTCTTTGTGCACCATCTGGGAGTAATTAGACATTTGCTTCTATGTCCTTAGATAAATCATGTTCCTCTGGAGGAACCAAGGGCTGGACCATGGCACGCTATCCTTTGCTCTCACGTGTCTTGAAAAAAGGTTGTGTGCTAGCTTGGCCAACAAGAATAAAGGAGGCATGGGCAGGACCACTGAATAGGACATGCAGCATGAGCAAGAAATCAGTTCCTTCGTGGACTCGTGGGGTTGCTTGTTATTGTAGCACAACCGCAAAGAGGATGACTGATTTAACCTCGCTATATCTGATGTGTGTATGAGTCCTCCCACCCAGAAACTCAAAGGAGAGGTATCTTGCAGATTGTTCCCTGCTTGAGAACATTTGCTGTTGTTCTTTCCCCATTTTTTCCCACAAGTAGGTTTTGTTAGATCTCAAACCTGGGACAAAGGGCCATCTGAGGTATCCATTAACATATCAAAGTGGACCCAGCATCCTTCAGTCTCTCCCTGTTATAGGATATGGTTGGCATACCCTGGCCTCTATCCTAAGCTTTCCAGTCCAGGGGCTGGGCTGCCATTCCCCCAGCTGCTCTTCCCTATATAATACAGCCAT